AAAATGTAATGTGACATATCAATTTGTATCAGAACTCTGCAAGATAAACGAAGGTGAAATTTATTTGTTTTATTTCACATATCTGATTAATAAAAATGGATTTTAATGAATTTCAAATACGTTATATTTAATTATGATTATTTTACAATAAAAACAGTGTCAACTAATCAGATATGTGAAATAACAACAAATAAATTTCACCTTCTTTTATCTCACAAGCTCAAAATCGATGTCACGTATCGATTCACGTGAGAAATTGGCAAAAAATATCTTACAAGTATTAATTTTTAAATTCGACCTAATATTCAAACAGGCATATTTATTTCGAAATAAAAAGTATACACTTTTATATTAAACACAAAATAAAAATAATGCTTTAAATAAAGTAACCATGACATATCCTTGGTTTTTCAAAAATGTAAACAGAAAAATAAACACATAAGTAAATTTAAAAGTTAAATTCTAGTTGGTATTATTTTTGTCATTGTTTAGCAGTTATATATAAATCTCGGTGTATTTTTATTTTTATATTTATATATCGTTATATACGCTTGTTTAATGAAAGTTTCTGTTGAAAAATAGGGCCTCAGCACAGTAAAAAAAAAATACCAGTGCTGTTGGATACAGATAAACTCTACTAATTTTACACCTCATACACAAGAATGTTTTTCCCATATATTCAACCAGCACACACACATATATATACACACGCGTGCATACACACACATCTACCTTTACTCGTCCGTGCGTGAAACGTTACGGATAACCTGGTTCAATTTTCTGATAACATTTTTACTGTTGCAATTTATTGCCCACTCGTGGACACCGAATGATAACATTCGATAATTTCCTTGTGTATTTTTATGATATACGATGTTTTCAGTGAACAAATTACTAGTGAGCCCCTCATATACAACTGATATATATACTGTAATAATAATTTAGTGAATAGGTTATCAATAACTGAAGTCTGAAAATGCTTACTGTATAAAATCGAAAGCAAAAAGACGATTTTAGAAGGTTTTAAACTCATATCATTGGGATTGTTATCGTTTTGATGGAATTGTAAATTACAGACTAACTTAAAATAACGTTTTAAATCATATCCCATACAGGTTTTACGCCACTAAAACGAAAATCTATTTATTAATATACTTTTATACGCCATACGTAAATATACTCCGATTTTATACAAAATAAATGATAATTTCTGAATTTTTTTAAACTAGTTACCAGTGTAAATAATGATTACACGTTATATAAACGTAAATTGAAAGATCTATGCTTCTTATTGTTGTTTTTAATAAAAACAAATGTTGTTTGATATGGGCAAACCGATCATTATAATATCATATATATTATACAAAGGTGTATTTTCGGTTAAAATAAATATATTCTTATGAAAAGACAGAATGGTGAATTATGCTGATAAATCCATACACTCATTACTTAAGAATATGATTTGTTAATATTATTGGGTCCGATCGATTGCAGAAAAAACAAATAATACCACGCAACCTAACCACTGAGTCAAAAAACAATAATTTAACTTGCAACTTTGGATCTTGCAAATTGCTTTGTTACATATTACATTTTTTTTCACGCACTATAGTTAGACATTTCTTACTCTTTTTTAGCGATTTCTGGTTTCTATTTATTTTATTTTTTACCTCCCAGTCAAATATACGTGACTAGTTTAACAAATCTAGTGAGTAAAAAGTATTTCAAATCTGTAAACGTTTCCTGACCAAAAAAATACCAGGTCAGCTCAATAACTATCCACCAGATACTAATGTGATTCGAAACGATCATAAAACGTCTGCCAAATATGTTATTTTAAAAAAAAAACGGCAATGACGACTTAATATTTAATTTACATTATTCGAGTCATGTCTATCAATAAATTATTTCGTCTAAATTGTACAACATTACCAATAGCAATCTATACGTAAAATGTTTTTAATTAAGAAGTTATCAACACATACAATTCGTCAATAACACATATTTAGTTATTAGAACGTTAAAATACAAGTACGTTATGAATAAAATACGTTCGCAATTAATTTTGGCGGCCTAATAAAAAAAAACAGAATATATAATATATATATATATATAATAATAACATCAAAAAAATCTACGATCTTAAAAAATTAATGAGTTTCATTAAATATTTTAAACACAAAATTGAATCGTATGCCAGTAGTCAATCGTCGCGTGAATAAAAGTTGCGTATGAATACGAACCATAACTATTCACCTCAGACATTATTATTACGTGCACAATTTACCATCAAACACAATCGTATTCTCGAAAAGCAAAATTCCTAAATTTCAGATTAACAAGATTTATGAGGAATACGTGCCAACTAAACACATATATCGTACTTGCCTAAATTATCAGTACATCCGTTAAAAACGTACTTGTAAGCCCAACCTATTATGTAACTTTAAGGGAAATATAAATGATTTGAGACTCTTATTTTTACATAGTCAAACATCGATCCTTTGGTTATGAAGTAACCAATTTCGTATTTTATTAATACAATTCTAGATAATGTATTTAAATGACAAAGTAAAATAACCTTAACATATAACAGAACCCCCGTGGAGATACCTGCCACTTCAGCCTCCGGATAGTGTACACGTGTATACAGTTTTTGTAGGTCAGAGTTTTGAGAAAGTTTGACTTTCGTATTACACGATAATGCTCTTCAAAGCTAAACAGGTGAAACTGAAATAAAAATATGAATCGAATAAACTCAGATGGGTAGGTTTAACACATATAGTTATAACGGTTTATTATTAAAAAATAGTATGAACCTCTTATGCTCAACATTAAGTCGTTTATTCATAACAATGAACGTTCTTCTTCGGGTAAAGTAAGCTGTAGAAGAAAATCCAAGATTAGGATCATACCTACGTAGGAGACCTTATAAATAGTAAGCCCCCGTGTCGAAATAATAAATTATACTAAGCATAGGACAAATATACGATTATAAAACGGTTTGAAAATCATTGGACTTATTTAATTATTTTCAATGCCACAAAAAGTTCTTAATATCTAAAATATTATGTAACATTTAATTTAATTATACGTAAATAATTTATTCACAGTAAATACAAAATATGTAAGAACAATTGTTTATTGGTTACATAGTAAAATGTTTAGTTTTTTAATAACTATAGATAGATAACAACATTAATTTTGCCAATTTCGGTTCATCTTCCCTTGAAATTACTAATTGCGGTTCCTGATATAGGTTGTAAAATTTACTAATCAAGCTGTGGATTATATTCAAATAAATTTATAAATATTTACTTATTAAGTACCGTTCATAATTTATAATGTTACATAATTTATAAAATAAAGTCAAATTTACAATTAAAAATGTATCTATTATAAATAATTTATTGATAAAATTACGAATGTATTGTTCTACAGGCAAGTAAATTTTTTTAATTTTTTTTTTTTTTTTTGAGGTCCTCGTATTCATATTTGACACTAAAATTAAACAATATGAATCAAACAAATTTACTAAGATGCACTAAGGGTACAAAACGGTGGTAAATATTAATATAACAACCCAAACATCTTAAGGATTTATAACGAATTTTAATCTGTTTTAAAATATCTATAATAATTATGTTATCATAATATACCTAATTAGTAAAATTAAAAGAAATTTTTTTTTTCACCTTTCAACCATGTACATAACAACACGTGTACAAGTTGTATACGCCCATAAAAGCTGACTCGAGATTGATGAAAATAACAAAATATGTCGTGATTAAACGTAAAAAAAAAACCTTTTTAAATTTTTATAATAATAAGTTAAACGATTAAAGATTTAGGTATTTTTACATTACTACTTTTATAACCAAAATAATACCTATATAAATGCTCTTCCGATGATATTTAACACGGTTTCCATGCTTTTTTGATTCGTCATCATATTTGAAAAGTATCTAGTAAATCAAAACCAACATTTTTTTTCAGATTCTAAATCTGAAAAGTTACCGTATAATACTTTTTGTGCAAATTGATGAATCCGAGAAGTAATAACAAAAAAAAAAAAACATATCGATGTAAGACTAATATAGGTAATCTTATCGTTTAACTCAGTGTCTGAAATAAATGTATGATCACATGTTAGTCATAATATTAATAGTTATAATGAACTGATTTTAGTGATCATATTGGTCATTATTACGTATGACATCATTTCGATATCTAAATGGTAGTATTCCAATATTTTTTATCTTTATTCATAGCGATTTTACGTTGCTAATTTAACGTAATTTATTTAAAACTATTGATATAACCAAAAAAGTTGTTGTCAGTAATATTAATTATTTAAATACATCAAGACACACTTCTACATTTAAAGTTAATGCAATATTAGGTTGTAATAATAACAACAATAATAGTGTATGTAATTGTTATTAAAAAACTTGTTTTATTATTATCATTATTATCACCAAGTATAAACGGCCATTTTGCATTTCTTTTGATCGTCGTTACCCCTGCACTCTGTTGTATTTTCACCAGTTAAGTTAATTGCGATAACGTAACTTTTCTCCCTTCACCCTCTTTCCTATAAACCCTTGCTTTACTATATACTATTGCCTCCTTACAATAAACACCTTCATCTATCAACCACACTTTACACCCTAATTAAGATACGTCAACTACACTTGGAAATGTACATTTTTTCTTCCTTTTAATTTAACTGTATTGTACATAATGTCGCAAATTGGCATAGTAAAAATATGTCTGTCGATCGAATATCTTCATTAGTTTTTGTCATGTTATACAAAGAAAAATATAAGTTGCACAATTACAAACGAATGGAGTTTTTTTTTTCATATCAAAATTGATTTCAAAAAGAACATATGACAAACCGGACATTCGTTACATAATGTCTCGTCAGTAAAACATAATTCTTAAGCCAATAAAAAAAATTATTTATATTAATGAATATGCAAATATTATGACATTACCTGATGAACGGTCAGTGTGCTGAGTGTGCTTCGTTTGAATATTGCGTTATCTCCTCTAGACGAATCTGAAACACAAATCAATCGAATGTCAACATTGAATTTCTCGATAAAATGTAATGAATAATATTATATAAACTGCGTTGTATACAAGTGTGCCGAGTTGAATTAGTGAGATTATAACATTAATACATTTTACATATTATCCACCACTATCAGCTAAATCGACATTGTATACGGTCAGAAAAGGGTATCTATAAGTATATCACACATCCATTATATACAAAAGCGCATATTGCGGTTCGGGAAAGTTAAAAGTTACGAGGAAGCTACCAGATGTTGTCTGTTCTCACGGTACGCAACATAAGAGGTTTACAGAGGGAAAAAATAAGATAAAAGTATTTCATATTAGGTTCGAAAAATGTTTTAAGAATGAAAGGGCCATTTCGAAAACGGCGTAGTTCAATCTAGATAAAATAAAATATCGGGTGTTTGTGTAATAACCCACTTTATCCCCTTTTAAATTATATTCTCTTATTTTTCTTTTTTTATTTATTTCTGATAAATGTATTTTATTTGATTTTCGTTAATCGTTTGTATTTCATGTACAAGTATAATTGGTATTAAATTTATCTGTCTCACATTCTAAAAATAAAAATAATAATAAAACAATTTAAAACATTCTTTAATTTTTATATTCTAATATTTAAATCACCCAATTTAATCATTTATTTTTATTTTTCAAAACTAATAAATATTGTATTAGTTTGATCTATCATTATTCTGATAATGTTTTGTATGAACGGAGAAAAATAATGTATTATATGTGGACATAGGTAATATAATTATATTTTAAAGATTTAAAAAATTATTTATGGGTAACATTTTTACGATGAAAAAAGTGTGTTACCATTAACCTATTTTTATGGAGGAACTATTAAGTTACATAATACAATAAAAACAAATCTAATATGGTTACAGCTCATATGTTATTAGAAAAAGTTAGTATAAATATTATAAATTACATCTTTACATAATACATGCCAAGAACATTTCAACTTAAAAGTAATTTATCACTTTCAATGCAATGTTATACTAGAAATTAATATTCTTTATATTTTTGTATCTAAAATTGACAACTTACCAATGTATTATACTTAGATATAAAACTAATTAAAATATACGAATATATATACGAATATATAATAATAATAATATATAATGTCTACGAATATATATGTATATGAATTGCATTTGATTTCAAAAACAATGAGTATCAATGATTTCTTATTTTAATGAACCCTCATGGAGCTATTAAAATCAATAAAATTAAATAATATAGATAAAAAATGTTTTATTTGTTCGTAACATAACAATTCAATAATTTAAGTAATAAAATAAGACGATAAGCTTTTTAATGAGAAATCACATAATAGAAAATATATTATGACAGATCATCAAAAATCATCGGCTTTCAAAGAACAAAATAAACACTTTAGCACATAGGTTTTTCATATTATTTATGTTTAAAAACACAGATTTTTTAATATGAACTAACTGACGATAATTTTCTGTATTTGTGATGTATTAATATTTTCATAGGAAGTATTCTATGAATTATAGTATTCTTTATTTTAGATTATGCAGAAAGGAACCTTTTATTTTTAGATTCCTCGGCATGCTTTAAAACTTAGTCCTATGGGATCATATTTGTCTCGACAATGATTGTCATTTCACCAACATGAACATACCCCTCAAGAAAACAAAACGACAAAACGATAGATTGTAAACCATTGCTTCAGGTGATTTCAATCACAGTCTTCAAAGCACTACGACAGGAGATTTTTCTTTCTAATATTTCCCTCTATATATATAGTATGATATATACAATTATATCGATAAGCAGTCCATTATTGATTTCATAGTGTAACTACATGTATTGTTTACAATTTCACTCTTTTCAATAAAAACAAAATTATTCAATTATTAAGATAAACATATGAGCTGTTTAGTTAGATAAATGTCCCTGTTCATAAATAATGGCTTCATATTTTATTTTAAAATATAATTATTATTAAATTGTTTTGCTATAAACTAATTTATTGTTAATTTTAGTTAACTAGAACGAATAATTTCATTTAGTGAACAGTAAAAATTTTTTTATTAAAAAAAATACTTAAATTGTATACTATTCTTTACTCAAAAAACATATTTTTATATTTTAGCCATAAATGATTATAGAAAATGATTATATAAATTAATTATGTAAAAGGTATAAAAAAAAATAAACGGGAGAAAATACATACGAATCTGTACTTCAATCAAAAGTTGCATTGAATAATAAATCAAGGAATACTAGTTTTAAACGGCTAACAAAAAGTATTGCAAAAAGTATATTTGAAACTTGTTTTTTTAAAATCAGTTAAAAATATAATATATATAATAATAAACAAACACGTTCATACATAGTTTGTAAATTTATCTCACATATGTAACAAAAAGAAAGCTAAAAATTATTTTCAGTCGTATTTTGCAATAAAAAGTATTATAAAACACATAAACCTATGGTAAATATATATTAAGTTCTATGTTACAGAATTATAAATGACCTGCAACTTATTATAAAAAAAACTAAAAAAAAAAAAAAAATTAAATTAAAATATTTTTTACTTTCATACATTAGTCATACAGTAATGTAGGTAATGCAAATGTAAACTATTTATCAATTTAAAATATAAGTATTTTATAATTATTATTTTGCAGTTGTTAATGATACATTATATAAATATATGAAATATAATATTAAAAATAAATAAATTTATATGAATAAAACAAAATATCTTAATTAAAAAAATACTTTTATAACATATAACTTTATTTTTTATTATTTGTTGTATAGTCATATTAAACCCAATATCACATAATTATTCTTCAAAAAAAAAAAAAAGCTCTTATCCTACCGGCAACGATAAAATACTCAAAAATATTTATGTATCTTAAAACGTTAAAATTAAAAATAAATTAATCATTTGCTATTAAATTAAATATTTATAAAGCTAATGAAATAATTCGTGATTTAATCAATTTTAAGTGGTAACTATTACAAAAATCAAACACAATAAAAAAAGGATGTATATAATATTTTGTTACCAGATCGAGATTGATTACTTATCTTGATTCCCTACTTGGCGATTCCATACTCTAAGGTGAGCCAAATTTACGAATATATTTTGATTGCTATAAATATACTGTTATATTGTAATAAAACTTTCGAGTTTTACGTCTAGATAATAAACTATTTATTAAATTTAAAGCACACAAAAAATGTAATATTAAATTGAATCTCGATTAAATATGATGCAATTATTAATCATTTATCAAAATTTGTAGTCTCGAAATCCAATACTACACGTTTGATCAACACAAATATAAAAGTTTATATAAAATATATATAGTCATACGATATTCATTAGTTGGTGAATCATAAAATATATTTATCAACAATTAATAAAATCCTGCAACTTAACTTTTCAATGCATAACTTAAATTATTACACAAAAAAAAAAATATTTTTATTTTAATTTTTTTTTTCAGCCATATGAAACGTATTAAACGTATCAAAATAAACAAGTATTACAAATTATCTTATCTATATAGTATTCTGGTAAATTTATTGATGTAGATTTATCCATTTATTTAAATGTTCAAAAATTCAAACATGATTTAAAAATATGTATTATAATAAACTATAAGCATATTATAAACCTACAATGCTTATACATACAGTAATTCAATATAATTAATTTTGAAATTTAATAAAATTTATGTATATTTATATTTCATATATAATATATATATAATATATTTCATATATTTATATATATATTATATTTATTATAATTTAATAAAATTCGAAAATGGAAATAAAAAGAATTTTAGAAAATGTATTGTCTATATTTAATCAAAACTCAACGTAGCATTTTTCAATTCTTCAATTTTAAATTTTTGGTTAAATTAATAGTTAATTACTTATAGTTATAAAACATTGGGTGATAGCGTATTTCATAACAGATCTATGCTGGTTTAAGATTAAAGAATAATAAATATATCAAAATTGTTAACTAAACCATGATAAGTTAAATTGTATTAATAAACTAACTTGTTTTTTATCGTACAAAATATATAACTTCATTTGCATACAATCGCAGTTTAATATTTCTACGTAAAATTGTTTAGATATAATCTATATATGAAATTTTGATGGTAAATTCAGTTGTTATTATTTTTTTTTATTAATCAGTAAAAAACGAATTTAAAATTATTTATCGTTGTGCATTATGAAATAATATCTCATTTAATGAAAACCATAATAAGAGTGGGAATCAAACATTCATCACAAATCAGATTGTACAATATTCAGATCCTGAGAAAAGGTATTTCTAAAATAAAGTTCGTATTATAAGTTTAAAAATAAAAAAAACATTGTTCCAACGTAACGAGCTTTTAATTACACAATATTTGTGCATTAATATTTGAACAAGGAGTATTTCTTACGAGTAGGATGAATACAATCAACCTTCTAGGGACAATTGAACAACAATATCACTAAGTATCATTAAATCATCTAAATATCATCGATGGTAGAGTGAAAATACTTATTATGCCACTGAAGATTTTTGTCACATTAGTATGATACTATAAAACGATAACGGATTGCAACCTGTTCCAATGCTACATACTTATTGTTACAAACAACTAGGTTAGGGAACAAAGTTTTATCATTCAGTTTTTTTGCGTTACAGCGAGACCAAAGAAATGCTAGAAATTGCACCGACATTAGTTCCAGGCAAACATTATATAATCGTAAATTAATGTCATTCCTTTGAAATATATAGTTTAGAATATTTAAGTATACTGAAAATTATAACACCAGTTATTTTAGCGCAAAAAAATAAATAAATAAATAAAACAAAACAATGGAATTAATGTGTTTAAAAGGAAATCATTTCGGGCAATATTACCAATTTCAGCTGTACATAACAGACTTTAAATTAATTATCACATACAA